ACAATCATCAGTGTCCTTCAACTGTGTCAATTTCTATATCAGGAAATATAGCAAAAATACTCTTTGAATTCGACAAAGTCTTTTTGGTACAATTAGATTTGAAAATTGCCCAGAGTCACCTTACAGGGGAGATGGACAACATAAAAATGTAATAAATAAATAATTAAAATAAATAAAGTTGAATAGGAGCATATTTCCTCATCCAGCCAATATTGTTTTCTCTGACCAGCTCCAGATCTCTAGAGTAGTATTCCTCAACATTAGCAACTTTAAGGGATATACCTTTTACAGGTATTTAAGGGATATACCTCTTACACACCTCTTACGGTTGCCAAGGTTGAGAAACATTGCTGTAGACCAGGAGTGTCCCACCTTGATAACTTTAAGACTTGTGAACTTCAACTCCCAGAATTCCCCAGCCAGCAGATTGAACTCCACAAGTCTTAAAGTTACCACGGTTGGATATTCTTCCTCTAGACCATTAAGTAGAAAACTATTTTCATCACCTGATCCTGATTCTTGCAGCTAGCCTGAATTTGTTAAGTTCTAGATGTCCTCTCCACTGAGATAGAGTTCAATTAATACTGAGAGTACCTAATGTTAACATCAAAGGTGACCCATGCAACAAAATATTGTGTGCTTTGATGGGAATATTAGCTAGCTAGCTGGGTGGGTGGGTGGATGGATGGATAATAGATGATAGCTCAAAAGACGGCTAGAGAGTTAGAGAGAGAGAGAGAGAGAGAGAGAGACAGACAGACAGACAGACAGACAGACAGACAGAGAAAGACAAAGAGATTCATTTTGTTAGTACATTTCTCCTTTTACATCCCTAGTTTTGACATAATTTTCTGCACTTCCTAATATTTCACAAGTTTCTACTTTTTCTGACTTCTCATAAGAGATGCCAGCACAATGATGTGGGCTGTGTATATGCAAATGTGTGCAGTCTGCCTCCCACAAGGGATCAGTATGTAAACTGAGGCAGTTTGATAGATTTCGAGCTGAAGCTAATATATGAGTGAGTTCTGTCACCCCTGCTGGCCCCAGTTTCCAGATTCGCTTACCTCCCATGGTATTCTCCTCTAGCCAAACCTGCCTGTTAATTAGGCATTTGGGGAGAGACAGCTTGATATCCGCACCATTGGCCATTCTGTAGCCTCCAGGCCAGCTGGTCAGAGGGAAAGCAGGTTAATCAGAAGTCTCCCCAGGCTCCTGACTTCTTATTTTGGATTAAAGTTGGTCACGGATGTGTCTTCAAGATGGATTTTTTTATAAGTAACAAAGAATCATGTGGCACCTTAGAGGCAAATGTGTTTATTGTGATGGAGCTGTTTGTGGATCACCACTCACTCCATTAGGTGATTCTGGTAAAATAAACTGCTGTCTGTGGAACCTGTAGCCCTCCAGGTGGTTGCAATAATAATAATAATAATAATAATAATAATAATAATAATAATAATAATAATAATAATAATAATAATAGAAAAACAGAATATCAGAGTTGGAAGGGACCTTGAAGGTCTTCTAGTCCAACCCCCTGCTCAAACAAGAAACCGTATATCATTTCAGACAAATGATTGTCCAATCTCTTTTTAAAAACTTCCAATGATGGAGCACCCACAGCTTCTGGAGGCAAGTTGTTCCATTGATTAATTTTTATGTCAGGAAATTCCTCCTTAGTTCTAGGTTGGTCTTCTCCTTGATTAGTTTCCATCCATTGCTTCTTGTCCTGCCTTCAGGTGCTTTGGAGAATAGGTTGCTGATCAGTTCTCATGTGCCCCATCACCTGTGGGCAAAAATGAGGGATGCAACCTTTGGAAGTGGAACTCATGTTTTTTCCACAATATGTTAAACTGCAAACTCCTAAAATGTTTTGTGAGAGGAATGAGAGACAAGCTTGGATCATATGTAAACAGGATAACAAAAAGTATGTTCTGATGTTTATTTCATGTACTTCTCTCTTGTTTGCACACCATAGTATAAAGTTTCTCTGATTCAGAGTAATCTTCAAGTCCTGTGTACATATCAGGACTTGAAGGAGTCGTTTGTTCAAATCATATTTGACTATAATAAGCCAGGATTGAACTACAGTTTCAGACATAAGCATTGTCAAGCCATGGGTTTGAGTTCAGGTCTAATAGAAAATAGTACTTTGATCTGAGATTATCCTAAAACTTTCAAAGATGAAGGAACCCTTGATGGATTCTCATATGAGAATATATTAAGCATTTAACAAAGTTATTTGTGTGAGTATATGAGTGTATATATATGTGTGTATACACACACATACATGGATGTGTAATATACATATTTTACACATAGACACAAAACTTTGATCTCCGTGTTTTAAGCAATGATCCAGCACTTCATTGAAGTAAGTACCTCTGACCTTCATGGACCAAACTTGCATTGGTAAAGGTCAGGAGGGCAGAGTTTGCTGTTGGTTTTTGTTTGGCTGTGGAATACTTTCTCATTCTGAGTTTTTGCTACAAAAAACACTTAATTGCACAATGTTCAGAAAGAATTTCCATTAAATTTATGGGGATTGCTCAGACTATGGTTTGAAAAATGTGTTCTCTTGGTTTCTCCAGTTGTCATTCTTGCTGTCAAATGTTGGAGGCTCAAAGCCTTGGCCATATTTTGCAGCCAAGTGAACAGAAGGGGGCTCAAAGAGGGCTATACATCCTGGTAGCTTAACGATGGTGAATGTTACCATACTTTCACACTTTCCATTTTGCCTTCATATCACTCTTTGCGCCTACACTTCAAAGTGTGGCAAGCTGGCAGATAAGATATGATTGAGCGGGAATATTTCAACCTGAAACACTTTCTTTGAGCACTTATTGGAAAAATGAACAGAAGAGACATCACGCAGAGAGAAAATACACAGTATAAATTCCAAATATAAAATCTGGTGGCGGTGAAGAACCTAACCAAGCTCACACACTGCCCTCAACTAATATCCTGGGCCCAATGGCTTGAGAAACCTCCAGTCAGGACTTAAAACCTTCCAGAAGGCTAACAGTGTTGGGCATATTATTAAATGTGGCAATTTTCAGCTAAGAATAATTTTAAATTATATTTTAATCCCATTTTTATTTTGTATAAATCAAGACAGAATGCAGAATACTCCCTCCTCCTATTTTGCCCCACAACCTTTTGACTGGACTGAAGTCATCCCAGCCAACTCCTAAAGGCTTCCTGGTTTCTAGTCTAGCATCTCAACTATCTTGCTTTCTCATAGATGCACAAGCCTGATCTCAGAAACAGACCATAGACCTTGGAAATTAATTAAAGCTTGACATCAATCTGGATTCAAAAACAGGAATTTCCTGCAATGGCTTTTTTGTATGTGTGTGTGATTTCTATAATATGTTTATTTGAGCCAAATAGTTTATAAACTGTTTCTGTATTGTATCAGAAAATGATTTTATTCTTTATTAACATTGTGAAAAAGGGTGAAAGTTAAAGTATTTAAAGTAAACACCAGCCTAGCGGGACACTAGAACCTTAGAAATATTGCTTTAATTGCCCAAGCTCAGATAAACCCTCCTTAAACTTAATGGGGTCCATTCATCAGTAAAGCAATGAAAACAACAACCTTTTCTGCATATAGTTATGAATCACAAAGAGAACTGATCACCTCACTCAAGGATCTCCAAAAAGCAAGACCTTTTTGTTGAAGTTTTTCCAACATGCAAATGTGTTTAAACTGTAGGAAAGCTATAATTAATGGACAGAAGGGCTTTCTTAAGTTGTGGGTGGGATTGTACAGAGGGTATTTTAAAACACATTTAGCCTTCTAGCCCCTCTTCTGATCACCAGTATGATAGATTGTTAGAACTTCCACAGGTGAGCTTGGAAAAGTAGAACAAGTACTGTAATACAGAAGGTTCCAAATGGAGCTTTAACTTTGCAGAGGTAAACTCCTACTTTGTAGAAGTGAAAGGTGGAGAAAGTCTCCTGCATTTTTTTTTAAAAAATCCCTATTCTCATTCATTTGATTGAATCTGTATTCAGAATTCTTTCAAAGGAGAAACAAAATTCCCAGATTTTCATGGAAGGAGTGTTCTTGCACTTACTTAGTTACAGAGGGGCATGTCCATGTTTTGGGGGACGTTAATCTTCTTCCTTTCAATGCTTTTTCTTTCAAATTTCTTTCCTTCCTTCACAGCCCTTCCTTCCTTTCCTTCCTTCCTTAAGAGCAATGAAGTCTACTAAATGAAACTGTAATCCCGTTCTACAACATATCAAATGATTTTAGAAGAGTGAAATTGCTAGAGTTGCTATTGTCCAGATTTGGAAGAAAAGGGACTCAGAGAGAGAAGCAGATACTGGAGGAGGGAAGAGAGTCAGGAGGGAGAAATTTTGGGGGGTAGGAAATGGGGAAGTGAGCCCATAAGAAGTATATTTTGTCCTACCAGGGCTTGAATTGCACCGTGGGTACAACAGCAGAGAAACAGATGGAATGCAGTACAACCATTTGGTACAACCACCAGTGTGGTCTGCATTCTTTCTAATAACAGGCTGAGCCAAGGATGTAAATTCTAGACAAAACATTGGGGTATGCAAGCCCCCCAAGGAAACAGTGAAAGTTCCTTTGGGTGGATAGAAAAACCAGATAAGGGGTTGCTTGACACAGCTGAAGTGGAGTAGGGCCTCCCCTTCTAGAAATTGACACTAACAAATTTGTCTTTATCAAAGGAGGGGAGAGCTAAATGGGGTCACTCTGGGTGTGGGGTGATTTTTGCAAGGTTTTCCATGCCTTCCATCTAGCTCAATTTTTAAAATTAAAATGAAAAACAATAATAAGGAACCCGTTTGGCTTGTCTGTGGACTATATCCAGCAGCATTCTTTGCAGATTTGGGTAGAAATCACCAGAGTTATATTTAAACTTCTGTTGCTTTTGCAGGGATTTTTTGGGGGAGGTTGGAATTTGCAATGAAGAAACATCCTTTTTTCTCTTCATCTGATGGTTTCCTCTATCTTTTTTCAGGTCACTGTGGCTGGAAGTAGCAGCTTTTGTGCGGCTGGCAGTGGGGAGAGTTTAAAAAGGCAAGTACGCTTAACGATGCTTCATGGTAAGCATTGCATTTTGATTGGTTTGCATAAAAAAGCAACAGAATGGATTTATTTCCATCCCAATCGGTGAACAAAAAAAGCAGACTAGCTTGTACCTGGAACTGATGAGGAACACACATATTGATATATCATGGGATGGATTATTAGAAACTCTGTGTTTTTGATGTATATGAATGATAACAGGATCTCTTGTAGAAGCTTGTTTTGGGGAAACTATGATTTAGATAATCTGCCTCCATATTCACACAAATATACACATAACACACTCATAAAACAATACGTACAGGAGTGGGCGGAAGGTGGACAGGTAATGTTCACATGAGACATGGGTGTTGGTGTAAGCAAAGTTAACGTATAAGGTCTGTTAGAATGGAACACTCTCAAAATGTGAAGCTGCTATGTTCGAATGAAAGAAGCAATTTGAAGAGTATTATGACTCCAGGAAGAAATCTGTTCCTGTGGCTTTGAACAATTTAACTGATTAGTTTTTAAAAAGCATGATGCTTTTAAAAAACATACAAAAGTGCTCCCTCTGATGACTGTTTTACAGAAAATGCAGTTTCCCTTGGATATGTGGAATTTAGTTTCTTGCTCTGTCTCATCACTAGGACAGCTTTTTCCAATATTATTAATCCAGATCTGCTAATAGATGAGCATATAAATTGTCTCCTTCTCGTCCTCTTTATTCTTCCTTTTTACTTACTCACTCTCACTCTCACTCCCTCTTCTCACAACTTTTCACAAAACCCACATCTGTACATGCAAAACATATATGGAAGAAGTTAGAATGTCCTTCCTCCCAAATTCCACATTGTTTTCCCTGTGAATGCATGGAGACCAAGGCAGAGCTATTTGTCCCACTCCATATCTTCAATCTATCTATACTCTGTGAAAAAGGATGCTGCTGCCCTGCAGGATCAGATCAAAGATTTATTCCATCCTGTTTCCCTACAGTGATCAGCCAGATGTTCCTAGGAAACTCATCAAAGCAACCTGAGGGCAAACCCCCAATTCTCCCATTATTCACCAGGCAACTGCTATGCTCCTTGAGATGACTCTCAGCCATTCACAGCTCCTCTTTTAAGGCATTGCTATAGTCCAAACAGGATGTTAATGGAGCATGGTTAATGATGTAGAGGGCAGGACTATCTTGGAAGGTCACAGCTGGTACTCCATCCAAAACTGATGAAATGTTATTGTTCAAATAAACTAGTCCAGGTGGAAGGTGACCTAATCCAGAAGTGTGCAACCTCTGGCCCTTAGCCTGATTTCATGCAATCCTCAGCTTAATTTCAAAAACTCTTTGCAAGCAATCAGTTCAGACCTCTGCTAAGACCTGTTTTTTCTTTTCCTGAGAACCAGCTGCTGAGGAGAAAGAAATGGACAACAGAAGGAGAATTAGAGAAAGGCATTTCACTGTGGAAAAAAAGGGGAAAAAAGTGTCTGGGAAAAAAACTACTTTTAGATTTTAACTCCAGTCACTGCTTGCCACCATTGTCCTCCAAAAGATTACTTCTGAGGGAAAGCAGTCCCTAAATCTCCTGGGTGAAAAGGAGGATAAAAATGTCATAAAGGAATGAATGAAAATAATGTTAATGATCAAGGTATTGCATACTAGCCTTGTAGGATTCATTAAAAGCCCATTGCAGCTGATCAGAGCTAACATGGCCGTTAGGTTGCTCTTTAAGAAGATGGGAAAGACAATAGGGAGTTTCTTTATTCCAGTTGCTGTGTTGTGAAAACTTCCATGTTGTTCCAAAGTGCCCTGGTGTAATTTGGATCAGTAATAGTGATAACTTGAGCAGAGACTAATGCTCAATGGACTATTTGGAAAAGTTGACTTAGAATCTGCTCCCAAAACAAGGATGTGTTTCCAACAGCCTTTGGTCAACATTACATGATATTGTTTTTTCTTCTGTAATGAAAAATCAGTAGACCAAGTATGTTAGATGTCTTCATTGCTGATCTCTCTGTACAGTTTTGTTAGGCTGTTGTAAGAACTATGAAGAAGTGTGACTGTTGGACACCCCAGATTGGTTGGTTTGTTTTTCTCCAGAAGGTTAATTCCAAAGAACATTGTTTGGCAGTTGTTGTTTTTCTCAATTATGATTCTGATTCAGCACTTTGCGAGAATGACCAGGACATTCAAGGGCTTCTGTACAAAAGGTTGTTGAATTAAAATCTGCATAGTCTTCTTCAGCCCTGATAAATAATTTCTCTTTGCTAACTGTATTTAGATGGAACTCAACATTGGGAAAAGAGTCTCTTGCTTATTTTACTTGCCTGGCAGCCTGTGCAATGTCAGAAGACTAGAAATAATAAGAGAGAGAACAATTCTAGCAGAGTGTCCTTCTGGGGCAATGGAAAATGTTAAGATGATAGCTAGAGGCAACCTTTAAGCACTGCTGGGAGCATTATCAACATATACCCCCAACCATTTTTTTCAAAAAAATTGATTTATATGCCACCCTTCTCTGGAGACTCAGGGCGGCTTACAGTGCGTTAAGCAATAGCCTTCATACTTTTGTATATTTATACAAAGTCAGCTTATTGCCCCCACAAACTGGGTCCTCATTTAACCTATCTTAGAAAGGATGGAAGGTTGAGTCAACCTTGAGCCTGGTGAGATTCGAACTTACAGTAATTGCAGACAGCTGGTGTTAATCACAATGCTTTTAGTCTGCTGAGCCACCAGGCCATTTGCTAGAAACAGACACAAAACTTGCACCTCCAAATCTTGATAACTAAATTACCAAGACACAGAGGCACATGGTTCTGGTGTATTTTAGGACAGAACAAAGTTTGAACAAGTTTTATCAGCCTCTGCTAATAAATAAATCTAAAATTGCACACCACCACCAGAAAAATATTTTTTCCCAAGGAAAAAATTCTGTTCCCCATTCATACTAGTGATATCACTAATCTTCCCAGGATATTGTAGTCTTCCAGAATTAGGACAACACATGGGTTTATGCATTGGTGCTCTGGTTTGAAATATCTCCCAATCAGTGCATTCCCAGGGTCCTGGTTTGTCTTACTATCTGGAATAACTTTTATTTTTCTCATCACCATGTAGATGAAGAATGGTTGCAGGAATTGAGTATGTCTCAGTCTAGTGAAAAAAAGGAGTAGGGATGACATGATAGCAGTCTTCCAATATCTAAGGGGTTGCCACAAAGAAGAGAGGGTCAACCTGTTCTCCAGAGCATCTGAAGGCACGACAAGAAGCAGTGGATGGAAATTAATCAAGGAGACAAGCAACTCAGAGTTAAGAAAAAAATTCCTGACAGTTATTAGAACAATTAACTAGAGGAACGGCTTGCATGGGTGATTTACTGAACTCAAAGATTGAAGAAACAAAGAGAGACAGAGAGACAAGTTCCTTCGTGAGCCATTGCAGACATTCCTCAAGATTAGACCCATTAATATAGAGGCAGCATGAATGCACATGTATTCATTTGAAAGTAAGTCCCATGCATTCATAGGGGTATTTGTTAATGTTTGTAGGCATAAGCACACCAGCAAGAACAATTCTGTTTATGTGTGTCTCTGTCAAGTAATCTTCATTTTTTTAAATAGGAAGACTAATTTTGGTTGGGAGAGTCAGTTTGGTAGAGTGGTTAAAGACACTAGGTTAGAAACTGGAACACCATAAGTTCTAAACTTGCCAACTGCCAACTTGCCAACTTTAGGTCCTAGTAAAAATAATAACTTTCAAAAATCTTGCAAAGAAAACTGGCAATACACTGCAGAATTTCTGGAGCCAAGGCTGGGCTTCCATCTTTTTTGTACCACAGCAAAAACAGACTGACTGAAGTCTTTGGAAGTGGATTGACATATCAGGCAAATAAATATTAAATAAACAAAATAAATAAATAAATAAATGTGGGATATTATTGACCAGCTAAGTAGCAATGTATCCCCTGAAATGCCTGGCAGATGAGGAATTAACTGGGATCAATTTTGGGGCTCTCTTGCATTGCTAAATGGGTCTGGGAGGTCTCAACCAAGCAGTTTTTGTACAAGCTCCATAGAAAGTGGTGAATTTCACCATCAAAATGCAGGCAACCAGGCAAAGGAAAGAATGAAATATTCAGCCGCTATTTACAGAATTGATTTGAAGATCAAGAAGTTACGAGCAAGCTAGATGAAAAGGATTAAGTCGGAAGCGTGAATGGAAGCATGCCATGGTGCAGAATTAAATTGGCATTTCAGCTGCTCAATACTTTATGAACAAGGAGAAAGAGAGGCAGGCCTGCTGATACAGCCATGCTTTTCAAAGGAGGAAGCAATCTTTCTTTCCAGTGGGGAGGCATGGGGAGCCTTTCCCCACTGCCAGCAACCACCTCCTCCTCCATCTACCTCCTTGGGTCTAGCTCTTTTCCCTCGCATCTTGACAATATGCAAGGAAGTGACATTCTGACCCTCGCTTCATGACCTTTCCCCATCAGCATAACCCAGGGGAAATGAAGGCTTTGAGTGATGGAAGCAAGACAGGCAAACCCCTTGCTTTTTATTGCCTTTGGTGGTCAACAGAGTCCAATCTATAACCACCTCTGCATTTGGGATCAGATGTAGGGCATGGCTGTGCTGCCTTAGCCTAGCTCTCCCCACCACTAGGCTAGTGTTTTTGCTCCTTAATAGAGGGAGATTTAGAAATATAGGAAGCTGCCCAATGGCTGGTACAGATACCCACGTTTTGATAAACTATAATGTGGTTTATTTAGATTTGGCTTAGATGTTATGTGATTTCAAGAGCTGTTTGGTATACTGGGGCAATGGGGGCATGGGAGAATGTGTGAAACGAAGAATATTTGTTCATCTAGATCAGAGGTGTCCAACCTTGGCCACTTTAAAACTTGTGGACTTTAATTTCCAGAAGCTGGTCTTAAAACTGGTTGGACACCCCTGCTCTAGATAAATATTGCTTGCTTTCTCTATACCTAATAGTAGCCCTCTAATAGGAATTTGGA